AAAAAAAAAAAAGATAAAAATATGGACATGACTGAAGTGATTTACATCAGGTTATTCTCTGTCCTTTATCATTATAGGAGCATTGTATACTAGAAATTGAACTGTTAAGTAGCTAACTGGTCTAAATGTCTTAGGAGTACTTTTCTTTCAAGATACATAATTTTTCTAAATTAAAAAATAAACGGGCTGTTGGAAATACAACAACTTCATAGACCTGCCACTTTTTAAAAACTTTTTTCCTCCTTGTGTGTTCTTTATAGATGATGGAAAACTTTTTATGTGGGGAGAAAATTCTGAAGGGCAGATTGGCTTAAATAATGTATCTAATGTGTATATTCCTCATGAAGTGACTGTTGGAAAACCTATTGCCTGGATCTCTTGTGGATATTACCATTCAGCTTTTGTAACAAGTAAGACAGAACATTTTGAATTCATGTTATCTCCCATTTTTAAGTTAATAGTTAATAATAAAATGATATAGCATTCTACAGTTCCATAGAAATAATGCCATGGTAGTCCATGTAATGAAATAATTTTGGTCTGTTTTATTTTATATATATTTTAAAATATATTTTTATTGATTTCAGAGAGAGGAAGGGAGAGGGAGAGAGATAGAAACATCAATGATGAGAGTCATTGATCAGCTGCCTCCTGCATGCCCCCCTTGCTGGGGATTGAGCCGGCAGCCCGGGCATGTGCCCTGACTGGGAATCGAACCACAATCTCCTGGATCGTAAGTCAGTGCTCAATCGCTGAGCCACACAAGCCGGGCTTGCCGTTTTAAAACTGTTTCTTCATTTCCATAATGAGAATTTATAATTTCAAACTCTCTCTAACTTGTTAACTTTTTTAAAAAGATATATCTTTATTGATCTTAGAGAGAGGAAAGGAGAGGGAGAGAGAGAGAGATAGAAACATCAATGATGAGAGAGTCATTGATAGGCTGCCTCCTGCATGCCCCCAACTGGGGATCGAGCCTGCAACCTGGGCATGTGCCCTGACCAGGAATCGAATCTCGATCTCCTGGATCCTAGGTTGATGCTCAACTGCTGAGCCACGCCAGCCAGGCAGGGGACCTGAGTTTCAAATGCTGTGGCCAGTTGCTAGCAGGATGTGCATGCAAGACCAGTGTACATAACAAATCAATCACTGACATAAAGAACTCTTCAAGGGCTGTATTCCCTGGGGGGGGGTTGGTCAGTAGTCAATCATGGTTTTCTTGGAGAAATGCAATTAATAAGCAACAAAACCTGCTATTACCTCTTTCCTCACACAAATGGTGATATGTTCTGTGTCATTCTTTAGATTAGAGTATATATTTACTAAGGTTTTAAAATTCCTACTTTATAAAACTCAGTTCAGTTCATAGACATGAACAAAATAAATTCTTACTTTCAATAAGTTCATAGTGCAGTAAGTATAACAACAGAAGCACGTCAGCAGTGTTGGTATTGACAAGGCAGTGATTAAGTGTAAGGTGCTCCTTGATAAGAGTCTGGAGGAAGTACCATCTAACAGTAAAATCTGTTATCTTAAGACTCATACAACATATTTACTCACATAAATGAGTTTTCTGAAACAAATTTCATAAGAGCAGTTATTCATTTATTCAACAACTATTCAATAAATGCTCAGTATACTAGACACTGCTAGGTTTTTGGAATACCTTAATGAGCAAAACAAAATCTGTGTTCTTACGGGGGCTTAATGGCTAGTCCTGCTTTATTAAAAGGAAATAGAAGCAAGATAGTCTTTTTTTTATTAAACAGCTAAAATAATTTTCTAGTTGTTTCTTAGGAGTGATGGTTGTGAATTTTTCGTGAAGATTTTGGACTAGAATAATCGAAGGGATAATCTGTCTTTATTTCCTCACCATATAGTAAAAATATCATAATTTAATATCAAATTTATTAAGTTGCCATTTTCTAAATTTTTAATTGAACATGAGAACATGTACTAAAAAGACCAGTATCTTGTCCATATTTATGTCATCATTGATCACTGTTCTTTTCCTTTAATAGTGGAGGGAGAACTGTATACATTTGGAGAACCTGAGTATGGGAAGTTAGGTCTTCCCAAACAGCTACTGATAAATCACAAAGTGCCCCAGCTGGTGCCTGGAATTCCCGAGAAAGTGATCCAAGTAGCTTGTGGTGGAGGGCACACAGTGGTTCTCACAGGTAAGTGTGGACCGTATTGCTCTGTTTCTTGCTTTCTTTGGTGGCTAATGAAAAAAAAAATTATATTCCTTTTTTTATTGTGGTAAGATCACTTATCATTTGTTTTACCCTCTTAAGTGATTTTTAATTGTACAATACAGTATTATCTATAGGCACAATGTTGCATGGTGAGTCACTTGAACTTACCTTGCATGGCTGAAACTTTTTTTTTTTTTAATGTATCTTTATTGGTTTCAGAGAGAAGAGAGAGGGAGAGAGAGTTGAAACATCAGTGATGATAGAGTCATCATTGATCGGCTGCCTCCTGCCTGCTCCGGACTGGGGGACTGGTGATCGAGCCCACAACCCAGGCATGTGCCCTGACTGGGAATCAAACCTGGATCTCCTGTATCCTAGGTCAATGCTCAACTGCTGAGCCATGCCCGGCTGGGCAGCAAGGCTGAAACTTTTATACCATTGATTAGCAGCTCTCTTCCCACCCCTCCCAGCTCCTGGCAACCACCACGCTAGTTTCTGCTATTTTAGATAGCTTATATAAATTGACCTTGAGTCTTTTTCTATTAAGATTTTCACCTTTTATTCCTGTATACATTTCTGGCCTATGGAAGAATTTCTTAAGGAGAAAAAAATGAATCTTGTTGAATTGTTTTTGCCTACATAATTGATATTTTCATGGTCTTAACACCTTTAATGGCAGGAAATGACACTGTATTTAGCTCATTTTTCAGGACAAACTGTTTTCCATATGTGTATGGAAATATATATATTTTGCATATATACGTGTATATATATTCCATATTTTTCTAAAATTGATACTTTTTCTGAAATATTTTCTTTTGGAGAAGCTCCCTTTTCATGTTATTTTCTACAGTCATTGATACTTGTTTTCTTTGTGGCATACACCATGTATAACTTGGTGATTTCTTTATGATTTTTATGTTCTGTTATAGTAATTCATTAAAAAGTGTTAAGATTTTCAATTACAGATAATAAAAGAAAGTTAGAACCTTCATAGTAATATTGTTTTGGGCTTCTGAATTTTGTATTTGGTATGACATGACATTTCTCAGGATTCTAGTTAATATATTAAGATATGCTTACTACTTAATAATATGTTTACTAAATTGCTGTTCCTAAATTTGTGAATTATCATTTTTTTAGTTAAAAAGAAATGCACAGTTTCTGAAATCACCGTTAATCTTCAGTAACCATAAGTTAGAAGTATTCTAGACAAGTTTTAAATAATATCCAATTCTCAGATGATATGCTTAATATTGCAAGGTGATGGAGCAATATTTTATCTTTAGATTTTCCTCTCTTACATAGCTTTTCCTTAACTTCTTTTTCTAGCCTCTGTCATGCTTATTAAGCTATGATTTACTAGAATTACAATTTCCAGATGGAATCTTTTTCAAAGTTAGAAATAATTTGTTTAAAGCTTTCACTCTAAATTTAGAAATATATTTTTAAAAATTTATCTTTATTGTTGAAAGTATTACAAATACCCCCCTTTTCCCCCCCATTGATCCCATCCACCCTGCATCCGCCACCCCCCAGGCCTTCACCACACTATTGTCTGTGTCCATGGCTTATGCATATATGCATATAAATTCTTTGATTAATCTCTCCGCACCCACTCCCCCACCCCTGCCTTCCCACTGAGATTCATCAGTCTGTTGCATGCTTCTGTGTCTCTGGATCTATTTTGTTTCTCAGTCTATTTTGTTTTATTAGATTCCACATATGAGTGAGATCACGTAAAACTGAATCAGGAAGAATCAGAAAACCTGAATAGGCCAATAACAAGTGATGAAATTGAAGCAGCAATAAAAAAAACTCCCAGCAAACAAAAACCCTTGTCTGGACGGTTTCACTGGGGAGCTTTCTAATTCTTTAAGTTGTAGGGTTAGATAGTTTATTAAAATTTTTCTTGCTTTTTGAGGTAGGCCTGCAGTGCTATGAACTTCCCTCTTAGGACTGCTTTCACTGTGTCCCATAGATTTTGGGTTGTTGTGTGTTCATTTTCACTTGTTTCCAGGAAGTTTTTTATTTATTTCTTGATCTTATTGGTAACCCATTCCATTGTTTAATAACCTGTTATTTAGCCTCCATGTGTTTGACTGTTTTTGACTGTTTTTACTGTAGTTGATTTCTAATTTCATACCATTGTGATCTGAGATGCTTGATATGATTTCAGTCTTCTTGAACTTGTAGAGATTGGTTTTGTGTCCTAACATATGGTCTATGTTTGAGAGTGACCCATGTGCACTTGAGAGGAATGTATATTATGCAGCTTTGGGGTGTAATGTTCTGTAAATATCAGTTAAATCCATCTGATCTAGTGTGCCATTTAGAGTCACTGTTTCTGTGTTGACTTTTTGTCTGGAAGATCTATCAAGTGAAGTCAGTGAGGTGTTAAAGTCCCCAACTATGACTGTATTGCTGTTGATCTCTCCCTTAAAATCCTTGAGGTTATCATTGATAGGTCTTTCTTTATTGCCGTTTAATTCTTTATGCCTGTTTCTCTATTTATTATTATTATTATAGCAGACCCTTTAATATTTCTTGCAATGCTGGTTTTGTGGTGATGAACTCCTTTAGCCTTTTTTTTTTTTTGGTCTGGGAAGCTCTTAATTTCACTATCTATTTCGAATGATAGCCTTGCTGGATAGAGTAGTCTTGGTTTCAGATCCTTGTTTTGCATTACCTTGAATACTTCATACCATTCCCTTCTGGCCTGTAGAGTTTCTGATGAGAAGTCAGTTGACAGCCTTATGGGGGCTCCTTTGTAGGTAACAGATTGCTTTTCTCTTTCTGCCTTTAATATTCTCTGTCTTAAATTTTTTGCATTTTAATTATGATGTATCTTGTCATGGGCCTCTTTGGATTCTTCTTGCTTGGGACTCTCTGTGCCTCCTGAACTTGTGTTACTTTTTTCTTGACCAGATTAGGGAAGTTTTCTGCCATTATTTCTTTAAACAGATTCTCTAATCCTTGCTTACTTTCGACCTCCTCTGGCATTCCTATGATTCGAAATTTGTTACGTTTCATGTTGTCCCACAGCTCCCTTAGACTGTCCTCCTGTTTTTTAATTGTTTCTTCTTTTTGGATCTCTGAATGATTTTTTTCTACCCAGTCTTCTAATTCACTGATCCAATCCTCAGCTTCCTATAATCTGCTGTTTATTCCTCCCAATGTATTCTTTATTTCTGCTATGCCATTTTTCATTTCCTTCATAGTTTCCATATCTTTTTTCCTTCTGTTGAGCATACTTACAATCAGTATTGTGAAGTCTGTATCTGAGTTATTGCTTATCTCCATTTCATTTAGCTCTTTTTCTGGAGACTTCTCTTGTTCTTTCATTTGGGGCTTGGTTTTTTATCTCCCCATTTCGCCTCCCTATTTGGGTTTGTTTTTATGTGTTAGGTAGGCCTGTTAGGACTATCAGTATTTTTGGACGGTCTCTGGTGCAGGCCAATGTCAGACACTGTTTGTGACTGGCTTTGAGTACCCTATTTGGAGCTATCAACAATCCATGGCTTGAGGTGACCTCTGTTGGGGCTGAGTGTGTTTGGAGAGGACCTAGATGTACACTAAAGTCTGCTTTTTCAGGCCTAGGTCCAGAAGCAGATCAGACAAAGACTCAAAGCACTCTGAAGTCTGCCTATACCTATTTTTGACATTTCTCCATGGACCTGTGAGAGCTTTATTATGAGATAGCCCTGATGAGAAACCTGTGTTCTGGAGCAGTGTGGACAGAAAGGTTAAATATTTAGTCCCAATGAAGAAATGGCCCTGAAGAATATATTGACCATTAGTTTTACTAAGTACTAAATTGAATACCCAACAGTTATAGAATACTTTGCAAGACCTTTAAGGAAAGAAGAGCAAACCATTTGTTCTAAATTATTCCCTTCAGGAAAGGGCTTGAATTAGGTGATTCTATGGGGGTCTTCCCCAGCTTTGATTTTCCTTTTGTCTATAACTCTGATCTTAAAATCTAGTTAGTTATCATTCATTAAAATACTTCAAAGATAATTTAAATTAGTTCATTGCTGATGATTTTTTTAAAAACATAATATTTAAATGTGGGTGTGGTAGATTAGAGAATACAGCTACTGGTTGTAGTGATGGTATGATTCGTTTTTCCTTAGAATCAGAGAAACAATAGACTGCTATTGAGAAAGTGTCAGACTGGAACTTGGAGACAGTAAGGCAGCGTGATAGATGTTATCTTGTATGTCAGTTACTAAAAGACAAGAAAGGCCTGATTATATGATGGGTTCTTCAGTTAAATCTGGATCTCAAGAAAAATAAGAACTTAACTTCTACAGATTATGCTTGGACAAACTTAAGATCTCTACAAGGCAACAAGTTACTAGTCATGAAATCAAAATGTATTTTATGAAATTAGAGTAGCATTGACCTGAAGCGAACTAAGAAATCTGTTTTTCTGCTATAGTATTATTTATTGACATTGAATTACATTGTTAAATGTTACAAAGGTGATATGACCAAAAATTATATTAGTTGTTATATGTAATGTTCTTAAATGAAAGAGTTTTTTGTTTTTGTTTTTATTTTTATTTTTATAATTCTGTACCTTGTCGTTTTTCTTCTTCCTTCATCACTGAAAAATGTATACCTAAGTATTGGGTATTGTATGGGCATTCTTTCAGAGATACTTAACCTTCATTGTGAAAGGTTGAATATCAGTTTTTCTAAATCTAATGTTGACAGTGTCCACTTCCCTCAAACCCTTTTCTTGTATTTTCCCCTTCCCTTTCAGAGAAAGCTGTGTACACCTTTGGGCTGGGACAGTTTGGCCAGCTGGGTCTTGGCACTTTTGTGTTTGAAACTGCGGAACCAAAAATCATTGAATCTGTTAAGGACCACAAAATAACTTATATTTCCTGTGGAGAAAATCATACAGCTTTGATAACAGGTAAGATCAGATTTCTGGTATATATTTATAGAACTGGGTATATTTTATTACAAAATAAATACCATATGGAATTAATGTATCTAACTTAAACAAAGGAATTAGTAACAGAAATTGAATTCCTTGTTTAATATGCCAAAATATAAAGTTGTAAACTCCTTTTAGATTTTAATTCAATTTAATTTCAATGTAAATGATTGAAAGATTTAGAACTTCAGAATATGTCAACAGTGTCAGAGATAAGACCATAGCATTATACTTTGGCAGAAAGCTGGAATTGTTTTGAAATTGTATTAGCCTGGACGTTCTTAACTCTTCTCAGGCCAGAGGGAAAAGTCTTACAAGAAAAAACTTATTTTGTGTGTATCCACATACCTATTACTATTATTATTATTTTAATTTTTATTAAATTTTTGGGGTGAAATTGATTAATAAAATTATGTGGGTTTCAGGTGTATAATTTACATTTCCCAGCTCTGTTCACTAGGAAAAAACTTATTTTAAATAAACTCACAAATTAAATAGAGCCAGAGACATGAAAGCATGCAACAGACTGAGGATTCTCAGAGGGAAGGAGGAGGCTGCAAGAGGTTAACCAAAGAATTTATATGCGTACATGCATAACCCATGGACACAGACAATAGTGAGGTGAATCCTAGGGAAGGGGTGGAGTGGGAAGGAAAAGGTCAATGGGGGGAAAAATGGGGACATCTGTAATACTTTCAACAATAAAGATAAATTTAAAAAGTAAAATAAAATGGGAGTAAAAAAACAACAACATTCTCCCTGTTCAGTCTGAAAGAGCTACATTCAGACTGAGTAAATTCTTTTTTTAATCTTTATTTTTGAGAGTATCCTGTAAAACTTTCCCCTCTTTTCCCATATTGCCCCCCTCCACCTGATTCCCACCCCAGCCCAGACCTTTACCGCACTATTGTCTGTGACCATGGGCAATGCGTATATGCATATAAATTCTTTGGTTAATCTCTTCCCACTCCCCCTTCCCTTTCCCTCTGAGATTTGTCAATCTGTTCCATGCTCCCATGCCTCTGGATCTATTTAGTTTATCAGTTTTTGTTCATTAGGTCCCATATATAAGTGAGATCATGTGATATTTGTGTTTCTCTGACTTATTTCACTTAGCATAATAATCTCCAGGTGCTTCCATACTGTCTCAAAGGGTACGAGATTCTTCTTTTTTACAGCTGCATAGTATCCCGTCGTGTAAATGTCCCACAGCTTTTTTATCCACTCATCTACTGATGGGCACTTGGGCTGTTTCCAGATCCTAGCTATTGTAAATAGTACTGCTATGAACATAGGGGTACATATATTCTTTCTGATTGTTGTTTTGGGATTCTTAGGATATATTCCTAGAAGTGCATGATCACTGGGTCAAATGGAAATTCCATTTTTAATTTTTTGAGGAAACTCCACACTGTGTTCCCTAGCGGCTGTACCAGTCTGCATTTCCACCAGGAAGGTACTAGGGTTCCTTTTTCTCCACATCCTTGCCAGTAAATTCTTATGATGCTTTTGCTACTAGGAGGCGTTTTCAGGAGTGACCCTTTCCTACTTGCTCCACAGTGATAGAGAGAAAGGCGCCTCCAAGATGATTAAGTGAATACCTGCATCCTTTAGATCTTCTTCCACTCTGTACTTTCTTCTTTATCCAGGGAGATGCTACATTGGGCCGACTTATCAACTTCAGAAACTAGGTGCTGCTAATGTAGGACTCAATAAAGATCCTTCCCTAAAATGACTAACTCAGTTACTTATAGGTAGTTGATATACTCCACAATTTTAATTGCTTTAGAACAAAAGGCTCTGTAATTTCACTACTTCCAGCTCACATTTCTATCTAAAAATGAAGTAAAGCATTAAAAAGTTAAAAATCATATAGTATTTTAGAATAATTCAGATATCAGTATTTCTACATTTTTTTCCTTTCAAAACTACTGCTACAGTGGAGCTCATCTAATGGTGTCTGGTTAGGGGAACTAGGAGTCAGTAAATACGAGGTCTACCATTCACTGTCTTTTCTTCCCCAACGAACCTTTCAAAGAGACCTACCTGCCCATTTTCAAGTATTGATCTTTGTTAATATAGCATGAAATAGAATATGTATATACAATGTAGAGAATCACCATTCATAGTCCTAGGATTGTTGTTGATATGTATATATTCCTTACTGCAGGATCTTAATCTTAGTTTCTCTGCCCTTACTGCCATTTTTCATCAATTCTAAATTGCCATTGATGGTAAATACACACATTATGAATCATCTAACATACAATGAGATTACTTGGTTAAACTTTCACAATACCTTTCCTCCTGATGAAAGAAGTTATAGCACAAATGATTGAACATTAACTTTGTTTGCCTTTTTGCTCATGACTCCTCCCCAGGGCACATGTGTTATAAATATTTTTTTCTCCAGGATTAATGAGAGGTATGTAGTGAGTTCCCAGTTCCGCATTATAGCCAGTGGCTTATGTTTTAAAAAGCTCTTTGAGGTTGGAAGTGGATTCAGGCAGCTTGGATCAGAGTTTATTTTTTTCCTAGCTAAAGATAATCAAATTAAAAGGGCAAACCTTAAAAAATATTTTGGATAAAGAAATCAGGGTCAAAGGAAAGATGAGGAAGGCAAAAAGATGATAAGGAATATATATAAAGAAAGGAAATAAATAATAGTAAGAATTATGAGTGTAAATTTAGAGTCTAAACACTGGTTATTGCTGATATGCAGGGAATCTATTTATTTTTGTATATTTTTGAACTTCCAACTTGACTGAATTATGTTATTTCTAGTCATTTTTCAGTCAGTTCTCTTGGATTTTCTTAGTATGCAATTTTACTTTGCCATCTTAACCTAGAAGTCCCTAATGTGATCTTATTATTCTAGAGCTTAAAACCATTCATTGAGCTTATTATTGCCCTTAGGATAGAGTTCAGAAATTCTTAAGATGAACTAATAGGATCCTCTGTGTTGTGGTTCTTTCTTACCTTTTCATCTCATACCACTCTCCCTTTGTGCTACAGGTGCTTTGGTTGCCTTTCAGCTTCTTGGCTATGCTGTTTTTTCCTTTTTTAAATTTATTTTATTTTTATTTATTTATTTTTATTGTTCAAAATATTAGAGATGTACTTTTTTCTTCCCATTGACCCATTCCACCCCTCCCCACGCCCCTCCCCAGTACCTCACCACACCATTGTCTGTATCCTTGGGTTTTGCATAAATGCATATAAATTCTTTGGTTAATTTCCTCCCCCACCCAGCCCCCTTCCTTCCCTCTGAAATTCGTCAGTCTGATCCATACTTCCATGTCATTGAATCTATTTTGTTCATCAGTTTATTAAGTTCTTTAGATTCGACATATAAGTGAGATCATGTGATGTCTGTCTTTCTCTGCCTGACTTATTTCACTTAGCATAATATTCTCCAGGTCCATCCATGCTGTCATAAAGGGTACGAGATCCTTCTTCTTTACAGCTGCATAGTATTCCATGGTATAAATGTCCCACAGCTTTTTTATCCACTCATCTACTGATGGGCACTTGGGCTGTTTCCAGATCTTAGCTATTGTAAATTGTGCTGCTGTGAATATAGGGGTGCATATATTCTTTCTGATTGTTTCAGGATTCTTAGGATATATTCCTAGAAGTGGGATCACTGGGTCAAAAGGAAGTTCCATTTTTAATTTTGATTTAGAGCCTTTATACTGTTGACTCTGCCTGGAAGATTCTCTGCTCCCTTCTTCTTGCAGCTAAACTCTATGCTCCAGTTTGAAAGCCTTCCCTAATCCCCAGACTAATGGGAGATCCCCCTCCTCTGCACCCATACTGGCACCTTTTCCTTTACTTTTGCTTCCATGGCACTTACCCCACTTGAGATGGAGGTTATGAAGTAAGGGCTTGAGGAGTGAAGGTTCAGAATAGCTACTACGGCAGTGGGAGAAGCAACAAGGTTACTTCATCATTGTGGGCCCACCTATATAGGGGACACCCAGTATTGGTATAGGGATCAGTCGACATGGTTGGTTTATGGGATTTCCATTAGCAGCATTCCACAGTCCAAGAGCAGAACTAGTAAAAGAGATGGCTGGATTGATCTAAGCAGTAGTTTTCCACAAATGGTGATTTTGTCCCCCTAGGGGCACATGGCAATGTCTAGAGACATTTTTGATTGTCACAACTGCAGAGGTATTCTATGGGCATTTCGTAAGCAGAGGTCAGGGATGCTGCTAAGCATCCTACAGTGCATAGGACAAACCCACACAATCAAGAATTATCCTGCCCTAAATGTCAGCAGTGCCAAGGTTGAGAAATCCTGATCTTGTCAATGAACTGAGGAAAAAAGAAAATAGATTGTATTGGGATGTAGGGGGTCAGAATACAAAATCTCCTTCCTCTTGAGAAGATGGTGTCTATCATGAAATCTCATGCTGGATTGCTGCTGCTCACACAACTGGGTTTTAACTTCATAAACCCCCAAGGGCTTAGTGATTTATTCTCAGAGTATCTATTGTCTAATGTTATATGTAGGACCACAGAGACCATAGACAGTATGGAAACATCAGTGGATCAGGATAAATTCAATGCAGAATGTGAGGGGAAAATTAAAATTGCAATGCAAATTAATATATTAGTCTATCTACAAATATATTCATACAAATAACACTTAAATAACTCTTCTTTGCATTTTAGATATAGGCCGTATGTATACTTTTGGAGATGGTCGATATGGAAAATTAGGACTTGGAATGGAGAATTTTACCAATCAGTTTGTTCCTACTTTGTGCCCTAATTTTTTGAGATTTAAAGTTTATTTGGTAAGGGTACTGCATTTTGCTGTTTCTATTTTCATATTCCTTTATTTGAGCCTTTTAATATTTTATAGAAAATAATTACTTTTATGTTTATATGAAAGAATATCATGGCTATATCTAATAAATATATTTGTTTCCTAAATAAGCAAATGTCAGACATCATGTCACTGATTGATAATTTCCTTCCTTCCTTCCTTCCTTCCTTCCTTCCTTCCTTCCTTCCTTCCTTCCTTCCTTCCTTCC